AGACATCCAAAACGGCTTGCAACTATTACCGAAAGACACGATCGACTAAAGAGAGTGGAAGACAAACGACTGTTTGCACTGGTTCTTTTTGCAATTGTTTTGCTGTGGAAATTGGATAGCTATCTTTGAATTCGGTAAGTGCATTCATCATGTGCAAAAAAACACAATTTTATGCAATACATTTTATTGATTTGCTTGTATTTGCATATTTTGGACTAGTTTGATTAGTTTGAAGAAGATATGTTTTGAGTAGACCTGCACGAATGTGAATGATTGATTGTTTTGTTTTGATTCATAGTTTTTTGCCGTGAGATTTTACTAATTGCAAATGGCAAAGGCTAAAATTGCGAAGCGTTCCAAGCTTATTCTGAAATCAGACAAAACATCGAAGCTGAAAAGTTTTTCCATTATACTTGAACGACTGGACCCAGCCAAAATAAAGCAATATGTGAGAGGAAACGATGACATCACACACAATCTTGACATTCATATTCATCGAAATGAAATGCGAATTCACAATGTTCGTTCTACGGCCATAGATAACAGTTTCAATGTACATTTGAAATTGTCTTCAGAAGGATTGGTTGTCGTTCAGGATATATCAATCAATGATATCGAAGACCGAAATCCACTTGAAGACAAGCCGACTCGTAATTTGAGACCCAAATCAAATAAGGCCAACATTATTGATGATAATAGTATTTCGAAAAAAAAAAACATGTTCAAAGCTAGTTAGGTCGCAATCTAAAACTATTTACAAAATGACAGAAGATGCATGGCGTTTATGTAAAAATAATCATAAACGAAATGGGTCTAAAATTTGTGTAAATGATATTGTAATGGCCAAATTAAAAGGATATCCGGCCTGGCCAGCCGTCGTCATAGAATTGATGAATAGTAGAGTAAAAGTAGAGTTTTTTGGAGCCGAACCGCACGAAAAAGTCGGCTTTGTGAGTTTAAATGAAATTACACGATTTAGTGAGTCTGAAGAAGTTATACGGCTCCTTTTAGGTCGCGAGTCGCGCGACACTCCTAAATTTAGAAAATCTGTTGAAGAAGCTGAATTGGTTTGTGGCATGCCACGATTTTTGAGCATAGTCTCGTAATCGATTCAGCTTTCTTAACTGATTCTTCAGTTGAAATAAAAATGTTAAAATTTCCAAATTCGGATTTAATGATGCAGATATCTGCTTCGAAACAAGATTTACTAAATTGTATTGAATAAAATTGTGTGAATTTCTATAGAAAACCATTAGTATAATTTTTCAAGTGATTTTGTTCTTTAGTTTTCCAGCGGTTTATGAATCGACAAAATGGTATCAAATGTTCGAGAACGCGCAAAGGAGCGCATGAAGATTTCGCGAAGAATTAATTCAATGATGAAAAGAGATTCACAATCGAATTTAATGACTAAAAAGCTAAGCAAAAAGCTATTCGCAGCAAATATAGAAAAACAACAATTACATAAAAATAATATAAGATCATGGGCGATTGAATACAATATTCAAAACAGGGCATTATCGGCACTTCTGAAAATTTTGATTACATTCGGTTCAAGAAACCTGCCAAGTGACAGCAGGTCTCTCCTTAGAACTCCACGCTCTATTCAAATTGAAAATACAGCTGGCGGACAATACTGGTACAACGGAATCGGAAATTGTTTGAGAAACGTTTTTGGAAAATTGAATTCGAATATAACTTTAGAATTGAATTTCAACGTCGATGGCCTACCGTTGTTTAAAAGTTCTCCAGTTACATTCTGGCCGATTTTGGCAAATATACATGGTTTGTTTAACCACTGAATTTTTTACTTGAATTGAAAAACGTTTTTTCAAAATTATTTTGACCACTTCGATCGGAAATGTTCGAGTCAAACCCACAACAATGTAACATTAACGTATTATTTCAAATATTCTCGTTTAAAAAATTTGAAGGAATGTCCGATGTCAAGCCTATGGTAATAGGTATCTGGAGTGGAATTGGGAAACCAAAGGATTTAACAGATTTCCTACAGCCTCTTGTGAGCGACATCGACACTGTAATTAGAAATGGTGTTATGATCAATGAGTATAGAATTGATATAGTCATTAGATGCTTCCTGTGCGACTCGCCAGCACGATCATTTATAAAAGGTTTTATTACTCTTTTAATTAATTACTCTTATGCAAACCTTTTGAGTTTTATATAAGATACTTAAAGTAACATTTCACTTGGGCAGGTATAGCATATTTCAACAGCAAATACGGATGTCAAAAATGTTATTGCATTGGCGTGTTTGATAAGAATGCACGGCGTATGCATTTTGCGGAATTCAACAAACCGAAACGCACGAATAATCAGTTCCTCAACAGATTCCAAAAAGAACACCACCGAGAAGAATCAATTCTCCAAGATTTGAAGAATCTGAATGGAGAACCACTGATTGATATGATCAAACAATTCCCGACGTCGGATCCACTTCATTTATTAGAAGAAGGCGTAATGAAAAAAGTGTTGAATATTTGGATGCATGGGAAAGATTCATATAAGAAGAAGTGGTCAAAAGAGATACAAGAAATCCTAAGTGCGCAGATTTCAATTTATAATAAAGAGCTTCCAAGTGATATAAACCGCAATGTTCGAACTTTGCAGTTCATAAAATACTGGAAGGCTACAGAATTTCGTACTGTGCTATTATATTATGGAATGGTCGCCTTTAAAGATTACTTAGGGGAGCAGGAATATATTCATTTTTTGAACTTGTGTCTCGCTGTCAGAATATATTCTTGTCGCAGTTATGTAAACAAATATAAAACAATTGCTCGTAAACTCTGTTTGGTATATTGTGAAAAATTTGGACAAATTTATGGAATCAATAATATTGTAAGCAATATCCATAATGTTATTCACATATGTGATGATGTAGACCAATTTGGTCCTTTAACAGAAATAAGTACATATCCATTTGAAAATTTCTTACGAGAAATTAAGATGCGCGTAAAACCATCAAATACAAACATTGAACAAATCAGTAGAAGGCTTGTCGAAATGTCTTTGGACATATCAGAAAATAAGAAAATCGATATGAATGCGAGACAACGGGAAAAGAGTTCCTGGACTCCTGAATTAAAATATCAATTTAATTCTTCAAATCAATCGACTTTCAAATTTATTAGAATAACACCAAATGTATTTTTTTCTGTAAAGAAAATAGGCGATAGATGGTTTTTGACCAAAAGTGGTGATATAGTAGAAATGAAATACGCAATTAGAAGCAAAAATTCATATTTTATTATAGGAGAACCAATTAAACGCAAATATGATTTTTTCATGGAACCATATTCTTCACATAAAACAGATATTTTTCTATGTGATACGGAAAAAAATAACGAAAGAATGTATCACTATGGTGAAATCAAATCCAAATTAGTATGTCTCACTTACAAGGATCAATTTGTTTTCATCCCATTGATTCATTCGATAGATGAATGTTCAGAATTTTTATCAAAATAGTATTTAATTATTTATTAAAAAATTATTGTTCTACCAACCGAGAAATATTTTTAGAGTATTTTTTATTCGGATTAATATGTGAAATTTACTAATAATCGTACTATATACTGTGCATAAATTTTGGTAAAAAATTCCACAATTTGAGATCTTTTGCATCAATTTTATGCGATATTTGTGCATATACTAAAATGCACGAATTACCATTTCATTTGGTTCAGTGGGATACCAACAGTATAATCTTTGGAAACATCACCCTTAGCATCATTCATAAATGGAATAGAAAATGCACATAGGGAGCAAATGAGCGATTGAAAGAGAGAAAATATAACCAATTTATGACTTTAAATGCGAAATTTCCGCCTTTCGTAATGAACACCACGCCCACTAATTCCATTTCGAATCCTTCCGGATTTTCATTTCGAGCATTGCCGCTTGTCGCTTTTTACCTTTGTGCCGTATTTGTCTCCCGAACATGATGTATTTTACGTACAAAAGCGGGGCCGGGGTGGAAAAAAAGCGTCGAATGCTGAGGAGAATATTGTGTATGTGCTGCAGAATGATGGCAAATTTATTATTGCCATTCGGGAAAACTGAACGCGCCAATATAAAGTCACGATGCTTGAAAATATCGAACATTCCCGAATGGGATAACATTCGTAAAAAAACGTGATGCAAATGCGTTGATATCCGCTCACAATGAGCTATTTGATGAGCTATCACATTAATGCATACCGAATACCGACATAATCAACTCAAACGCTTTTCTGCTTTTCTTCGTTTTGTATGTTTGTGTTTGTGTGTTCAATTCGACCCAGAGATTTGTCATGTTCATTGTAGTCGCTTAATAAAGGTGACAGCATACGCGTAATTTATCACAAATTTGGTCATATACATTGAATTGCGAGCTTATTATGCGTTATCATTTGCTGCTATTATGGAATTTGTCCCTTTTTTTCTCTCGTCGTTGTCGTCGTTGTCATCGTTCTGATTATGCAGTGCCGTTTCTCGTTTTAACAACTCCGCTTATAATAATTCCATCAAAAGATTTATCACTGAGACCATTTTCCGCTTGAAGTTGTGTCCCTCTCTCTGTCTCTTGCTTTCTCACTCACTCGCCCGTTCTTTGTGTTCACGTTTAGTTATTCAAATTGAAATGTGACACAGAGTGAGCAGCAGCAACATCGTCGTCGTCGTCATCGTCATCGTCAGTAGCATGAGCATCACTGGCAGCACGTCGTCAGCACGAAAGATAACGAGGTAAAAGAAGCATAGTAGTTGCTGTTGCTATTTTTTTTTCTACTTCTTCGCTGTTGTGCTCTCTTTGGGCACACATTAACCGAGAGAGATTTAAGTGGATAAACAGACAACATTTGTATGGATTTAGCCGATTGTGCGGATGTGTGTTATATGTGGATGCGCATAGAATAATGCGAAAACGTTTCATAGATTTCATTCTTCTTTTGTTGCTTTCTGACAGACGACTTTTCATTAGAACAGCAGTGAGAAAAAAAATGACACAACAACATGAATGAAGAGAGAAAAAAAAAGCTGAGCATCAACAACGATGATAACGAATAAAACACAACGGCCGATGTGCAACTATTAAAGATCGAAAAAGAATGTTTGCACATTATTTGTTGAGTTTTGTTTTTATGATGCCAGCGAGAGTTTGTGATTGCCGGCACAGGCACAGACACTGTGCCATCGGACTCTGACCATTTTTCAAGGAGCAAACAATACGCGTCCTCTTTAATATGCAGATAACATTCGTTATAACAAACAAGAGACACGCTGTAGAAAAACAAACAGAGGAACAACAACGACAAAAAAAGTCGCACACACCATTAGCGGTTAACACGACGAGAAAAGACGTGAATGGGCCTGACTCGGCTTTGCCATGACTCTGGCATACATGCCAGCGATAATAATAACAACAACAACAGACGCATAAGAAAAGAAATCTGAAAGCATCATCAGCATCACGGCTGTTTCTGTCGCTGCTGTCGTCGTCGTCGTCGACGACGATCGAATGAATAAGTGAGACAGAACACGATGCAAAACAAACTAAATCAAAGGTTCATTAGAAGAATTATTCATGCCAATGATGTTGGTTACGGTAGCGTTTATGTAGATTTTTCCATATTTGGTGTATATTTTCTATGTTTGTTACAGCGAGAAGAAGGAGCGAACATTTTCTGCTGGATTTACCAAAAAGTTAACAAATTCATCACGTCAACGAGCATTCAACGGTTGAATTTCCGACCACAACGTGAACACAGAACGGTAGCACACGGAGTGAGGAAGCGAGCGAGCGACGTGAGCAATTCACAACAAAGAATGGAATTTTCGGAGGGTTAAAAGGGAAGTAAGCGGAATATAGAGAGAGAAAAACATGCATTTTCGGTTGTTTCCATTTGTTTTTAAATAAAATTTTCGTGTTATTTCATTTTGTGCGAAAAGAGTGGTCTTTCCGTGGTTTGAAATTTTGTAAACACACTGACGCTACATGTTGCCAACAACAATGCGATTGGTACAACTTGGCGTTGTAAGCTCATCCATTTGACGAACATCGTCGTTGTCGTGTTGCGTTCAAACTCTCTGTTCAAACTGTTTGCCTATGTGTGTGAGTGTGTACAAGTGTCTAATTATCGATAGCAATTACTTAATACCGGATGATTTCACTCACAAACGATTTTCCATTTTGCGTTCAGCGTGCGTGCGCGCTCACCAAACATTTTTACCGCTTCATTGAGTTGTGCGATTCTTCGTTCGATTTCGATTTTGATATCGAAATAATATATTTCAAACGAACGTTTCTTATTTGATATGAAAATGTGAATCGAAATGGTCTGGTTTTGTGATGTGGTCAATGCTTCTGGTTTGGAGATAAAAAGCACCAGCCCCTACCATGTTCGATTTTGTTGTTGGATTTGCGCATCAGAATGATTCAATTGATATGATTGTTACCATGGTTGTATATGCTGTTGAAACGCAATATGATTCCCAGTAATCTCATAATACATTACAATTCCAACGAAGCGGCAATTCAATGCGCATTTGGAATTCTTTTGGTCATACAATCATCGCATTTGATACAATAAAAGACTTTTAATCACTCATCACAAACATTTTCCACAAAAGCCCAATTGAATCATTATTGACCTCAAAATATGTATAGATGGGCTCGTTTTGACTGGCCAAAGCCCTCTCTCTATCTCTCTCTCTCATCAGTCAATGGATTCTTTGGAAAATTTTGAACAGTAATCACCCACATAAGTAAATCAAGAGCAATGAGAGACGAGCTAGAGAGAGGGCTTTGGCCAGTCAAAACGAGCCCATCTATACATATTTTGAGGTCAATAATGATTCAATTGGGCTTTTGTGGAAAATGTTTGTGATGAGTGATTAAAAGTCTTTTATTGTATCAAATGCGATGATTGTATGACCAAAAGAATTCCAAATGCGCATTGAATTGCCGCTTCGTTGGAATTGTAATGTATTATGAGATTACTGGGAATCATATTGCGTTTCAACAGCATATACAACCATGGTAACAATCATATCAATTGAATCATTCTGATGCGCAAATCCAACAACAAAATCGAACATGGTAGGGGCTGGTGCTTTTTATCTCCAAACCAGAAGCATTGACCACATCACAAAACCAGACCATTTCGATTCACATTTTCATATCAAATAAGAAACGTTCGTTTGAAATATATTATTTCGATATCAAAATCGAAATCGAACGAAGAATCGCACAACTCAATGAAGCGGTAAAAATGTTTGGTGAGCGCGCACGCACGCTGAACGCAAAATGGAAAATCGTTTGTGAGTGAAATCATCCGGTATTAAGTAATTGCTATCGATAATTAGACACTTGTACACACTCACACACATAGGCAAACAGTTTGAACAGAGAGTTTGAACGCAACACGACAACGACGATGTTCGTCAAATGGATGAGCTTACAACGCCAAGTTGTACCAATCGCATTGTTGTTGGCAACATGTAGCGTCAGTGTGTTTACAAAATTTCAAACCACGGAAAGACCACTCTTTTCGCACAAAATGAAATAACACGAAAATTTTATTTAAAAACAAATGGAAACAACCGAAAATGCATGTTTTTCTCTCTCTATATTCCGCTTACTTCCCTTTTAACCCTCCGAAAATTCCATTCTTTGTTGTGAATTGCTCACGTCGCTCGCTCGCTTCCTCACTCCGTGTGCTACCGTTCTGTGTTCACGTTGTGGTCGGAAATTCAACCGTTGAATGCTCGTTGACGTGATGAATTTGTTAACTTTTTGGTAAATCCAGCAGAAAATGTTCGCTCCTTCTTCTCGCTGTAACAAACATAGAAAATATACACCAAATATGGAAAAATCTACATAAACGCTACCGTAACCAACATCATTGGCATGAATAATTCTTCTAATGAACCTTTGATTTAGTTTGTTTTGCATCGTGTTCTGTCTCACTTATTCATTCGATCGTCGTCGACGACGACGACGACAGCAGCGACAGAAACAGCCGTGATGCTGATGATGCTTTCAGATTTCTTTTCTTATGCGTCTGTTGTTGTTGTTATTATTATCGCTGGCATGTATGCCAGAGTCATGGCAAAGCCGAGTCAGGCCCATTCACGTCTTTTCTCGTCGTGTTAACCGCTAATGGTGTGTGCGACTTTTTTTGTCGTTGTTGTTCCTCTGTTTGTTTTTCTACAGCGTGTCTCTTGTTTGTTATAACGAATGTTATCTGCATATTAAAGAGGACGCGTATTGTTTGCTCCTTGAAAAATGGTCAGAGTCCGATGGCACAGTGTCTGTGCCTGTGCCGGCAATCACAAACTCTCGCTGGCATCATAAAAACAAAACTCAACAAATAATGTGCAAACATTCTTTTTCGATCTTTAATAGTTGCACATCGGCCGTTGTGTTTTATTCGTTATCATCGTTGTTGATGCTCAGCTTTTTTTTTCTCTCTTCATTCATGTTGTTGTGTCATTTTTTTTCTCACTGCTGTTCTAATGAAAAGTCGTCTGTCAGAAAGCAACAAAAGAAGAATGAAATCTATGAAACGTTTTCGCATTATTCTATGCGCATCCACATATAACACACATCCGCACAATCGGCTAAATCCATACAAATGTTGTCTGTTTATCCACTTAAATCTCTCTCGGTTAATGTGTGCCCAAAGAGAGCACAACAGCGAAGAAGTAGAAAAAAAAATAGCAACAGCAACTACTATGCTTCTTTTACCTCGTTATCTTTCGTGCTGACGACGTGCTGCCAGTGATGCTCATGCTACTGACGATGACGATGACGACGACGACGATGTTGCTGCTGCTCACTCTGTGTCACATTTCAATTTGAATAACTAAACGTGAACACAAAGAACGGGCGAGTGAGTGAGAAAGCAAGAGACAGAGAGAGGGACACAACTTCAAGCGGAAAATGGTCTCAGTGATAAATCTTTTGATGGAATTATTATAAGCGGAGTTGTTAAAACGAGAAACGGCACTGCATAATCAGAACGATGACAACGACGACAACGACGAGAGAAAAAAAGGGACAAATTCCATAATAGCAGCAAATGATAACGCATAATAAGCTCGCAATTCAATGTATATGACCAAATTTGTGATAAATTACGCGTATGCTGTCACCTTTATTAAGCGACTACAATGAACATGACAAATCTCTGGGTCGAATTGAACACACAAACACAAACATACAAAACGAAGAAAAGCAGAAAAGCGTTTGAGTTGATTATGTCGGTATTCGGTATGCATTAATGTGATAGCTCATCAAATAGCTCATTGTGAGCGGATATCAACGCATTTGCATCACGTTTTTTTACGAATGTTATCCCATTCGGGAATGTTCGATATTTTCAAGCATCGTGACTTTATATTGGCGCGTTCAGTTTTCCCGAATGGCAATAATAAATTTGCCATCATTCTGCAGCACATACACAATATTCTCCTCAGCATTCGACGCTTTTTTTCCACCCCGGCCCCGCTTTTGTACGTAAAATACATCATGTTCGGGAGACAAATACGGCACAAAGGTAAAAAGCGACAAGCGGCAATGCTCGAAATGAAAATCCGGAAGGATTCGAAATGGAATTAGTGGGCGTGGTGTTCATTACGAAAGGCGGAAATTTCGCATTTAAAGTCATAAATTGGTTATATTTTCTCTCTTTCAATCGCTCATTTGCTCCCTATGTGCATTTTCTATTCCATTTATGAATGATGCTAAGGGTGATGTTTCCAAAGATTATACTGTTGGTATCCCACTGAACCAAATGAAATGGTAATTCGTGCATTTTAGTATATGCACAAATATCGCATAAAATTGATGCAAAAGATCTCAAATTGTGGAATTTTTTACCAAAATTTATGCACAGTATATAGTACGATTATTAGTAAATTTCACATATTAATCCGAATAAAAAATACTCTAAAAATATTTCTCGGTTGGTAGAACAATAATTTTTTAATAAATAATTAAATACTATTTTGATAAAAATTCTGAACATTCATCTATCGAATGAATCAATGGGATGAAAACAAATTGATCCTTGTAAGTGAGACATACTAATTTGGATTTGATTTCACCATAGTGATACATTCTTTCGTTATTTTTTTCCGTATCACATAGAAAAATATCTGTTTTATGTGAAGAATATGGTTCCATGAAAAAATCATATTTGCGTTTAATTGGTTCTCCTATAATAAAATATGAATTTTTGCTTCTAATTGCGTATTTCATTTCTACTATATCACCACTTTTGGTCAAAAACCATCTATCGCCTATTTTCTTTACAGAAAAAAATACATTTGGTGTTATTCTAATAAATTTGAAAGTCGATTGATTTGAAGAATTAAATTGATATTTTAATTCAGGAGTCCAGGAACTCTTTTCCCGTTGTCTCGCATTCATATCGATTTTCTTATTTTCTGATATGTCCAAAGACATTTCGACAAGCCTTCTACTGATTTGTTCAATGTTTGTATTTGATGGTTTTACGCGCATCTTAATTTCTCGTAAGAAATTTTCAAATGGATATGTACTTATTTCTGTTAAAGGACCAAATTGGTCTACATCATCACATATGTGAATAACATTATGGATATTGCTTACAATATTATTGATTCCATAAATTTGTCCAAATTTTTCACAATATACCAAACAGAGTTTACGAGCAATTGTTTTATATTTGTTTACATAACTGCGACAAGAATATATTCTGACAGCGAGACACAAGTTCAAAAAATGAATATATTCCTGCTCCCCTAAGTAATCTTTAAAGGCGACCATTCCATAATATAATAGCACAGTACGAAATTCTGTAGCCTTCCAGTATTTTATGAACTGCAAAGTTCGAACATTGCGGTTTATATCACTTGGAAGCTCTTTATTATAAATTGAAATCTGCGCACTTAGGATTTCTTGTATCTCTTTTGACCACTTCTTCTTATATGAATCTTTCCCATGCATCCAAATATTCAACACTTTTTTCATTACGCCTTCTTCTAATAAATGAAGTGGATCCGACGTCGGGAATTGTTTGATCATATCAATCAGTGGTTCTCCATTCAGATTCTTCAAATCTTGGAGAATTGATTCTTCTCGGTGGTGTTCTTTTTGGAATCTGTTGAGGAACTGATTATTCGTGCGTTTCGGTTTGTTGAATTCCGCAAAATGCATACGCCGTGCATTCTTATCAAACACGCCAATGCAATAACATTTTTGACATCCGTATTTGCTGTTGAAATATGCTATACCTGCCCAAGTGAAATGTTACTTTAAGTATCTTATATAAAACTCAAAAGGTTTGCATAAGAGTAATTAATTAAAAGAGTAATAAAACCTTTTATAAATGATCGTGCTGGCGAGTCGCACAGGAAGCATCTAATGACTATATCAATTCTATACTCATTGATCATAACACCATTTCTAATTACAGTGTCGATGTCGCTCACAAGAGGCTGTAGGAAATCTGTTAAATCCTTTGGTTTCCCAATTCCACTCCAGATACCTATTACCATAGGCTTGACATCGGACATTCCTTCAAATTTTTTAAACGAGAATATTTGAAATAATACGTTAATGTTACATTGTTGTGGGTTTGACTCGAACATTTCCGATCGAAGTGGTCAAAATAATTTTGAAAAAACGTTTTTCAATTCAAGTAAAAAATTCAGTGGTTAAACAAACCATGTATATTTGCCAAAATCGGCCAGAATGTAACTGGAGAACTTTTAAACAACGGTAGGCCATCGACGTTGAAATTCAATTCTAAAGTTATATTCGAATTCAATTTTCCAAAAACGTTTCTCAAACAATTTCCGATTCCGTTGTACCAGTATTGTCCGCCAGCTGTATTTTCAATTTGAATAGAGCGTGGAGTTCTAAGGAGAGACCTGCTGTCACTTGGCAGGTTTCTTGAACCGAATGTAATCAAAATTTTCAGAAGTGCCGATAATGCCCTGTTTTGAATATTGTATTCAATCGCCCATGATCTTATATTATTTTTATGTAATTGTTGTTTTTCTATATTTGCTGCGAATAGCTTTTTGCTTAGCTTTTTAGTCATTAAATTCGATTGTGAATCTCTTTTCATCATTGAATTAATTCTTCGCGAAATCTTCATGCGCTCCTTTGCGCGTTCTCGAACATTTGATACCATTTTGTCGATTCATAAACCGCTGGAAAACTAAAGAACAAAATCACTTGAAAAATTATACTAATGGTTTTCTATAGAAATTCACACAATTTTATTCAATACAATTTAGTAAATCTTGTTTCGAAGCAGATATCTGCATCATTAAATCCGAATTTGGAAATTTTAACATTTTTATTTCAACTGAAGAATCAGTTAAGAAAGCTGAATCGATTACGAGACTATGCTCAAAAATCGTGGCATGCCACAAACCAATTCAGCTTCTTCAACAGATTTTCTAAATTTAGGAGTGTCGCGCGACTCGCGACCTAAAAGGAGCCGTATAACTTCTTCAGACTCACTAAATCGTGTAATTTCATTTAAACTCACAAAGCCGACTTTTTCGTGCGGTTCGGCTCCAAAAAACTCTACTTTTACTCTACTATTCATCAATTCTATGACGACGGCTGGCCAGGCCGGATATCCTTTTAATTTGGCCATTACAATATCATTTACACAAATTTTAGACCCATTTCGTTTATGATTATTTTTACATAAACGCCATGCATCTTCTGTCATTTTGTAAATAGTTTTAGATTGCGACCTAACTAGCTTTGAACATGTTTTTTTTTTTCGAAATACTATTATCATCAATAATGTTGGCCTTATTTGATTTGGGTCTCAAATTACGAGTCGGCTTGTCTTCAAGTGGATTTCGGTCTTCGATATCATTGATTGATATATCCTGAACGACAACCAATCCTTCTGAAGACAATTTCAAATGTACATTGAAACTGTTATCTATGGCCGTAGAACGAACATTGTGAATTCGCATTTCATTTCGATGAATATGAATGTCAAGATTGTGTGTGATGTCATCGTTTCCTCTCACATATTGCTTTATTTTGGCTGGGTCCAGTCGTTCAAGTATAATGGAAAAACTTTTCAGCTTCGATGTTTTGTCTGATTTCAGAATAAGCTTGGAACGCTTCGCAATTTTAGCCTTTGCCATTTGCAATTAGTAAAATCTCACGGCAAAAAACTATGAATCAAAACAAAACAATCAATCATTCACATTCGTGCAGGTCTACTCAAAACATATCTTCTTCAAACTAATCAAACTAGTCCAAAATATGCAAATACAAGCAAATCAATAAAATGTATTGCATAAAATTGTGTTTTTTTGCACATGATGAATGCACTTACCGAATTCAAAGATAGCTATCCAATTTCCACAGCAAAACAATTGCAAAAAGAACCAGTGCAAACAGTCGTTTGTCTTCCACTCTCTTTAGTCGATCGTGTCTTTCGGTAATAGTTGCAAGCCGTTTTGGATGTCTGTTTGAAGAGAACAATTTAAAATCACCCGTTGCATATCAGAACATTCGAGAAAAACAAACAAACAAACATTTAACCTACACACAAATGAGCTATCACGATGATCACCAGGCACACAGTTCACACAGTGGTTGCAAAAGAATCCAGATACCAACAAGTCTGTCGTTCCTCGAAGCTTGATTGCTAATTATAAATCGAATGAAAAAAATTAAATATCATTCATTGAGAAATTAAACTATTTTTACCTCTCTTCTGCTCTCTTCTGCTCTCTTCTTCAAACAAATGCTGTTTCAACCGATCTCCAAACGGTTTACTCAGTTATCACATTCACAAGACGCTGCGAATAGTTTTCGTCTAGTGTTTTGTGTTTGTGTTGACCATTTAAAACCGTCTATACAAAAAGAAAAACCATTGATAATCAATTGCTCATTTTTTTGCCAATTCGACCAAAATTGCTTTTCAATTCAAAAGTGTTAGCGTACCACCTCCTTGCAAACGAAGCCAGCGATTTCCAGCGAGCATGAACACTGTATGCACTGATTTCAAGGTCACCTTATCCAACGTACAAATATTGTTCCGATGCTAATTTTTAATCAACACGTATGCATGCTTGAGTTCTGCTCACAAATCAAACGGAAAATAAATTAATTTCATTTAATCCCATTCGTTGAAAAAAAAAGATGTTTTCACCTATTTTCTTGTAAGAAAATCGATAGCAAATGACCTTTTGCGAAGAGAGTTTGATAGCACCGGCAAACTATTAGCGGCTTCTTCTTTTTCCGAATTTTTTTCGTTCGTATTACGAAAAAATAGGAACAACGAAGAAAATATAAAAAACAAAACAAACAACCGAACAAATTTTGCTGTTGGGAATATTTTAAAAATCGATTGGTGATTATTTAAATGATCAAAGAAAGTCAATCTTCACTGGAAATGAGTCGTCCGAAATAGTAATTAGCTCTCATTACTGATTCACTGCAATGAGTGGTTTATGCGAAGAATAAGAGCCAACCGATTTACATACACATTAAAACAAATCACAGCTGTAAGCTGTGCGCTTATCGTCTCATTGTATCCGATTCAACACAATGAAGTTAGTAGCTCGTATCAGTCACACGTAAAAGAGAGAGAGAGAGTTCTCTCCCTCGCCCTCGTTTACATGTAATTCAATACTAGCTGCTTGCTTCATTGTGTTGAAGCAAATCCAACGACGCGCGTCATTTCACAGTCGCAGCATCGCGCAGTTGTTGCCGCATTTCAACTACATCTACAGATGTGTATAAGATGACAGTGTTGCGCCTGCGCCTTAGTTGGCGTCGGTCAATACCAAGAAGCAAGCAGGTTGTATTAGAGAGAGAGCTCTCTCTTTTTACAATGCTACAGCTTACGGCTGTGATTTGTTTTAGTGTGTATGTACATCGATGGCTCTTATTCTTCACATAAACCACTCATTTCAGTGAATCAGTAATGAGAGCTAATTACTATTTCGGACGACTCATTTCCAGTGAAGATTGACTTTCTTTGATCATTTAAATAATCACCAATCGATTTTTAAAATATTCCCAACAGCAAAATTTGTTCGGTTGTTTGTTTTGTTTTTTATATTTTCTTCGTTGTTCCTATTTTTTCGTAATACGAACGAAAAAAATTCGGAAAAAGAAGAAGCCGCTAATAGTTTGCCGGTGCTATCAAACTCTCTTCGCAAAAGGTCATTTGCTATCGATTTTCTTACAAGAAAATAGGTGAAAACATCTTTTTTTTTCAACGAATGGGATTAAATGAAATTAATTTATTTTCCGTTTGATTTGTGAGCAGAACTCAAGCATGCATACGTGTTGATTAAAAATTAGCATCGGAACAATATTTGTACGTTGGATAAGGTGACCTTGAAATCAGTGCATACAGTGTTCATGCTCGCTGGAAATCGCTGGCTTCGTTTGCAAGGAGGTGGTACGCTAACACTTTTGAATTGAAAAGCAATTTTGGTCGAATTGGCAAAAAAATGAGCAATTGATTATCAATGGTTTTTCTTTTTGTATAGACGGTTTTAAATGGTCAACACAAACACAAAACACTAGACGAAAACTATTCGCAGCGTCTTGTGAATGTGATAACTGAGTAAACCGTTTGGAGATCGGTTGAAACAGCATTTGTTTGAAGAAGAGAGCAGAAGAGAGCAGAAGAGAGGTAAAAATAGTTTAATTTCTCAATGAATGATATTTAATTTTTTTCATTCGATTTATAATTAGCAATCAAGCTTCGAGGAACGACAGACTTGTTGGTATCTGGATTCTTTTGCAACCACTGTGTGAACTGTGTGCCTGGTGATCATCGTGATAGCTCATTTGTGTGTAGGTTAAATGTTTGTTTGTTTGTTTTTCTCGAATGTTCTGATATGCAACGGGTGATTTTAAATTGTTCTCTTCAAACAGACATCCAAAACGGCTTGCAACTATTACCGAAAGACACGATCGACT